CTCAATTCTGATGCTCTGGGCAGGGGGGTCCCAGCTTTGAGTTTATACCCCAGAGTTCTCAGTGGGAATCCTTCCACCACTGAGAACTTCAGCTACTTTCTGTGGGAACTTGGCCATTCCTTTCACACCTCAGCACTTCCTACAAGTCTCTATGTGGTATCCACTTTCTGTCCTTGGTTATCAGGGTTCTCTTCAGCTAGTCTTCAGAATTATTTTTCTGTATTTTATTTGTAATTCCAGTTTAGTCCTGAGAGAGTTTCAGCATAGCTTCCACTTCTCTTTATGTCATCTGTTACTGTCATGAGAACCTTAATGAGAACTAGTACATCAGGTAGTCTCATGATGTGTCCATGTTATATTTATAATATCCCATATTCTTCTAAGTTGCCATTCTTCCAAATAAAGATAGCTTATATATTAAATAACTAAGTTTACTTTCTTCTACAGTGGTGTCTCTCAAACTATGGTCTCCATATCATGAGCAGCAGCCTTCTACCAATTTTTTAATTGGATAGTTTGTCTTCCTTTTGTTGAGTTGTATGAGTACTATTTATATATTTTGGAAAAATTAATTCCTTATCAAATGCATCATTGGCAAATGTATTTTCCTATACAGTGGGTCCCCTTTTAATTTGATGCTGGTTTAAACTCTCTTTACTCCAAGAGTACACAATAAAGTCAAGATAGTCTCTTCAATAAATGTTGTTGGGATAATTGGACAGGTACATGCAATAAAATGAAACTAGACCACCAACTTCACCATATACATTGATAAATTCAAAATGGATTAAATGCTTAAATGTAAGTTGTAAAATTATGAAAACCCTAGAAGAAAGTGTAAGCACTAAAATATCAGACATTTCATGTAGCAGACTTTTCTTTGAAACAATGACTAGGACAAGAGAAATAATGGAGAAAATTAACAAATGACACATCAAAATAAAAAAGCTTCTGCACAGCAAAAACAACATTTAATGAAGTTACTGTCTTTTTTCTCCATTGAGTGTTCTTGGCTTCCTTTTCAAACATTAGTTGACCAGATATGCTCTGGTTTGTTTCCTGGCTTTTAATCCAGTTTTGTTGGTCTATTTGTGTGATCTTTCTACCAGTAATGTTTCAAATGCTAGAGATTTACAGTACAGCTTGAAACTAGAAAGTGTGATGCCTCTCACTTATTCTCAGGATTTCCTCAACTATTAGAGGTCTTTTGTGATTTCATATAATTTTAGGAATGCTTTTCTATTTATGTAAAACATGCCATTGTAATTTTAATAGGGATTGTGTTGAATCTATGGCTTTTGGTAGAATGGATATTTTAACAATATTGGTTCTCCCAATTCATGAACAAGGGACACTTTTCCATTTGTTTGTAACTTTTTCAATTTCTTTCATCACTGTCTTAGAGTTTTCAGAATACACATCTTTCACCTCCTTTGTTAAATTTATTCCCAAGTATTTTTTTTGATGCTATTATATATGGGATCAATTTCTTTATTTCTTTTTTTTAGAAAATTCATTGTAAGTGTGTAGAAATGCTACTGAATTTTTCATGTTAATTTTTTAACTTTTAAGCAGTTTTATTGAGATTAATTAATACAGTTGGCCATTTTATATTCAATGTTTTTTAATTTATATTTTTTATTTTTTAAATCTTTATTGTTGAAAAGTATTATATATGTCCCCTTTTAACCCCATCAACGCCCTCTAACCCACCCCAGCTCTCCACCCCAGGCCCTTACCACCCCACTGTCCAGTTTATAGTTGTTCACAGTAGCCTCTTTTGATCCTTGTATTTCTGCGATATCCATTATATTGTCTCTTTTTAAAATAATTTTGTTGATTTGGGTATTCTCTGTTTTTCGTTTTGTTTGTTTGTTTGTTTTTTTAATTTAGCAAAGGGTTTGTTAATTTTGTTTACCTTTTCAACAAGCCAGCTCTTAGATATTTTTATTTCTGCTCTAGACTTTTTTTTTTTTTTTATTCTGTTAACTTTGAGACCAGTTTTTCTCTTTTTATCCTAGTAAGTTAAAATGTAGAGTTATATTGTCTATTTGGGACCTTTTTTTTCTTTTACTTTTTGTTGTTGTTAATCCTCAGCTGACAATATTTTTCCATTGACTTTTAGGAACTGTGGAACAGAGAGGAAAAGACAGAAACACATTGATTGGTTGCCTCCTGCACAAGCCTTGCCCAAGATCTGGGCTGGCGAGGAACCTGCAACCAAGGTACATGCCCTTGACAGGAATCAAACCCGGGACCCTTTGTTCCACAGGCCAATGCTCTATCCACTGAGCCACCGGCTAAGGTCTTTTTCACTTCTCAATGTTGGCATTTATTGCTATGAACTTCTCTCTTAGAACTGCTTTTGCTGCATCCAATAAATTCTGGATTGTTGTGTTTTCATTTTCATTGTGTCAAGAAACTTTTATTTCCCCTTGAGTCTTTTATTCTTGTCAGATGGGTATGGCTCTGTTTCAGTCCCCTTACCTGGACAGGACTTAGAGGAGCCACTCCAGGCCTCTCTTACTTTTTTCCAAACAAACTTTCTAGTTGGAAGGTATTGGAGCTACCTTCAGCTTTGGCTATGAATTAATCCCCCTACTTGGGTATAGCAGGAAAGCCCTACATGTCATGTATTGACTTTTCTCTGGAGGCAATCAGCTCTGACTATCTCTCAGCTTGAGTACTATTTGCTACATGACTTCCAAATGCTCTCTCTAGCTCATCTGAGCAGATGAGGCCAGGAGACACTCTCTTTAGTGGGGGGGTCTATTACTCAGCCCCTTGACTGTATGTGGGCAAACAAGGCTCTAAGGCCAGCAAAACTTCCCCTTTGAGGACCCAAAACAAGAAAATACACATTCCAGTGAATTCCCTGGTCAGAGTGCTAGGATCACTTTTCTCACTGGAAGAACCTGTGTTAGACCAATGCAGTCACTGTGTAGCCACTTAACTTAACCATCTAATGTGGTCTCTCTTGGTTTCTGTAGTGCAAGGGGATGTTTCAGCCTCCCTCCTGTATCCTGGGATTTTTCAGTTGGTGTCTTGTTCATGAATGGTTGTTAATTGTTTTTCTAGTGAGGGGAGGTGAAGTCAGGAATGTTTTATGTTGCTTTCTTGGTGATATCAATCTCCCCATAGTGGCCTTTGGGGGAAATATATTTTTTCATGTAGTCAACTCAATTTAAAAAGGCCCTCATGCTAACAAAACAAACAAACAAAAACAACAAAAAGACAAAAAAACACCACAAAAGCACCTCAAAATATCAACAAACACCATGTGCTTTTTCTATTTTTTTTGTAATTTATTGCATTTGTCAACAAAATTTATAAAGATAACTTTTAAGTCATAATTCACTTCCCTGCTTTTCTGATTGCTATTTTTAAATTCTTGTATAAAGAAACAGTTTGCACTTTATGTTAATTGTTAATATGTCTTGTACCTAGAGATCAGCCATTAGATAGTGCCTGGCATTAGTTTGAACAATGTACTATTTAGTGTATTATTTAAGTATGCTAAAACACAAAATAACATTTGCCTTGTTAAATTATGACAATGTGATGATTATATTAACAAGACCAATTGGACCTCTGACTTAGTCTCATGGCATTTAATCAGTCTTACTTTGATCTCTAATCTCCTTTATAAAGATTGAAAATTTAAATAAGATATACCTTCCTTTTGTTAAGTTGTATGTCTTCTCTATAAATTTTGGAGATTAAACCCTTTTCTGAAATAGCATTGGCAAATATGTCCTCCCACACAGTGGGCTTTCTTGTTTTTATTTTTGTTGTTGTTGTTTTTTTTTTTATGGTTTCTTTTGCTGTACAGAAGCTTTTTATGTTGATGTAGTCCCATTTTTTTACTTTCTCTTTAGTTTCCATTGCCCTAGGAGCTATAGCAGTAAAGATATTGCTATGACATATATCTGATATTTTCCTGCCTATGTAGTCTTCTAATATTTTTATGGTTTTCCATATTACATTTACTAGTAAGTCCTTTAACCATTTTGAGTTGGTTTTTGTGAATGGTTTAAGTTGGTGATCTAGTTTAATTTTTTTGCATGTATTATATCTGACCAAATTTCCCAGCACCATTTATTAAAGAGACTGTTTTGACTCCATTATATACTCTTGCCTCCTTTGACAAATATTAATTGAGCATAATGGTTTGGGTCAATTTTTGGGTTCTCTGTTCTGTTTCATTGGTCTATATGTCTGTTGTTGTGCCCGTACCAGGCAGCTTTGAGAAATGTGGCTTTGTAATATAGCTTGATATCTGGTATTGTGATCCCTCCAACTTGTTCTTCTCAGGATTGCTGTGGCTATTCCGAGTTTTTTTTTTGTTTGTTTTTTTTAAATTCCAGATGAATTTTCGGAGAGTTTGTTCTAGGACTGTGAAATATGCCATTGGTATTTTAATTGGGAGTGCATTGAATCTATAGATTGCTTTCGGTAGCATGGACATTTTAATTATGTTGATTCTCCCAATCCATGAACACTGCATATAACATTTTATTTTTGTAACATTTTGTACATAAAGTATAGTAATACCCATTAAATATTATATATACTATAATGTTGACTCATATTTCTTAGTCTCTTTACACAATGAAGTATTGATATGCCTTTGCCAATTTGGCTCAGTAGATAGAGCATTGGCTTGTGGACTGAAGGGTCCCAGGATTGATTCTAATCAAGGGCACATGCCCAGGTTGTGGGCTTGATCCCCAGTGGGGGGCATGCAAGAGGCAGTAGATCATTGATTCTCTCCCATCATTGATATTTCTATCTCTGTCTCCTCCCTTCTGCTTTTAAATCAATAATATATATAAAGAAATATTGATAGTGAGTCTTATAAACATAAATTTCCAAATATGTATCACAATTGATTCTTTCATATAATTTTTCTTTATAAGGTCTCATCATTGTGTTATCTTTACTTAAATTAGGGAAATGACAACCATATGTATATAGAAATTGAAATGCATAATACATACAAAGAGTGGCTTCATGTGCAAGGTTGAAGAATACTTGTTTCCATAATTAGCTTCAGGTCTAGCTGTTTCCAGAGAGCCATTCCAATTATAAGATGCGTGGTTATAAGGAATATCTTCTTTGGGTTTGTGAAACATAAAGCTATTTAAAAAAATAAACATGAAATATTTTACCATACTTCAAATTTTGGATATTAACCCCTAATCATATGCATTGGAAAATATATTCTCTCATTCAGTGGGTTAGCTTTTCATTTTGTTGATGGTTTCCTTTATTTTGCAAAAACTTTTTAGTTTAGAAAACCAAGATGGCAGCATAGGTAAATGCCTAACTGCAGCCTTGCACAACAATTTCAAAAAATACAACTAAATACAAAATGGACATTATCCAGAACTACAGGAAAATTGACTGAATGGAAATTCTACAACTAGAAGGAAAGAGAAAACCAGAAGGAAAATCAGAGGAGCTGTAAAAGCCTAAGGTACAGAGACATGATGCGCACATGGGGAGAGGATGGAATCGGAGAGCATGGGGTGGCTGAGTGCCTGGATGGTGTTCCCTAGTGGGAAGGAGATAAAAGCTCTGGACTGTGCTGAACCCCAGTTACGACTGCACTGAACCCCAGTTCTGGGCGACACCCTGGAGACCCAGGCTCATACAGAGGGAACCTGGGCTGTAAGGTAGAGACTCAGGGGAGCAGCAAAAGGCAGAGCCCCGGAGACGCGCACATGAATGTGCGCAGAGGGTGGACTGTTGACTGTGCTGCTAGATTGCTCTAGCAGGAAGGAGACAAAAGCTCTGGACTATGCTGAGCCCCAGTTTTGGGCCAGAACCTGAGACCCAGGCTCATACAGAGGGAATTTGGGCTGTAAGGTGGAAACTCAGGGGAGTGACGAAAGGCAGAGCTCCAGAGGCGTGCACATGAATGTGCGCAGAGGACGGACTGCTGACTTTGCCACTGGATTGCCCTAGAGCACATGTGTCAAACACAAGGCCCGCGGGCCAAATCCGCCCCGCCAGGCCTTGCAATGTGGCCCGCACCGCGCTGTCATCACTGCACTCCGCTGCGTTTCCATCACAATGACAGTTTATGACTGTTCAGTAAACCATTTGGCCCGCGATTTAGGCTGGATTTTAGATTTTGGCCCCTTCTCTGATTGAGTTCGACACCCCTACCCTAGAGGGAAGGAGACAAAAGCTCCAGACTGCTCCGAACCTTACTTCCAACTGCACTGAACTCCAGTTCTGGGCCCAGTAGGGGAGAGACTAGACTGTCTGGTAGCAGGCAAAACTCGAGGGCGCCTTTCTCTCAGAGGTACTTGCAGCAAGTACCTAAGGACACCGAGGAACACTGAGACTCAGGAACCTCATAGGATGGGGCTGATGGGAAGCCAAGGCTGTAGGCTCAACCCTGAAACTCTGCCCCATCCAAGCTGAGCACAGAGGCTTTTGCAATTTTCCAAGTCTAGTCGAATAAGGCTGTCTCCAGGCATAGACACAGCTGATCTTCACAGCCAATTGGCCTGGAGGTCAGTTCCTCCCAGTGATACCAACAACAATCAAGACTTAACTACAACAAGGCTGTACACACAGTCCAAAAAGGGGTTCACCAAGAGTGTCTACCTCAGGTAACTGGGAGGCTGACCAACTGAATCATATAGGACACTTTAGCACACAAAGCCACCCTACCAACTCAGGGAAGCAGCGAAAATGCCGAGACAAGGAAACATCACAAATGAAAGAAATTGAGGACAACAAGTGACTGGATATAGATTTCAAAAACACAGTTGTAAGGTTTTTCAAGAATTTACTAGAAAAGGCCGATAAATTAAAGGAGACCTATGAGGATATGAAAAGAGATCAACTAGAAATAAAGAATACATTGTCTGAAATAGAAAATATTATGCAGAGTCCTAAAAACAGAATGGAAGATAGCAAGAATCAAGTCAAAGATTAGGAACATAAAAAGCCAGAAGACACTCCTCCACAGAAGCAAGAAGACAAGAGAATCTAGAAGGTTGAAGATAGTGTAAGAAACCTCTGGGACAACTTCAAGTGAACCAACATCAGAATTATGGGGTCCCAGAAGAGAGCAAGATACCGAAAACATATTAGAAGAAATAGTGACAGAAAACTTCCCCGACCTGGGGAAAGAAATAGACTTACAAGTCCAGGAAGTGCACAGAACCCCAAACAAAAGGAATCCAAAGAGGACCACACCAAGACACATCATAATTAAATCCCAAGAGCAAAAGACAAAGAGAGAATATTAAAAACAACAAGAGAAAAGCAGGTAGTTACCTATAAAGAAGCACCCATACGATTGTCAGCTGATTTCTCAACAGAAACCATGCAGGCCAGATGGGAATGGCAAGAAATATTCAAGGTAATGAATAACAAGAACCTACAGCCAAAATTACTCTACCCAGCAAAGCTATCACTCAGAATCGAAGGCCAATTAAAGAGCGTCACAAATAATAATAATAATAATAAAGCTAAAGGAGTTCGTCACCACCAAACCAGAATTATATGAATTGCTGAAGGGGGTTCTTTAGGAAGAGGAAGAAAATAAAGATAAAAATTATGATGAACAAATATGTAACTATCAACAAGTGAATCTAAAAATCAAGGGAACTAAAAAATCTGATGAGCAATATTAACTTGTGAATATAATAGAATCAGAGGTATGGAAGGGGAGTGGACTGACGATTCTCGGGGAAAAGGGGAGTGGTGGGTGTGGGAAGAGACTGAACATAAACTGTGCACCTATGGATGAGGACAATGAGGGGTGGGGAAAGAGCAGAGGGAGGGGTGGGAACCTGGTAGAGGGGAACAATGGAGGGGAAAAAAAGAACATTTGTAATAATATGAACAATAAAATTTTATTAAAAAAAACTTTTTAGTTTGATATAGTCCCATTTGTTTAGATTTTCTTTTGTTTCCTTTGCCCAATGATACTTAAAAACACACACAGAAAAACAACTCACGCAATGTTGAGTTGTGATGAAATAAATTGTTATCACTATATTCTATAGGTATCAAATGAATGGCATATAAACATCCAGAAGTCACATTAGGTTGAAATATAAGAAAATAATGAAATCTTCATAATACAAAGAGAACAAGTCTCTTATTATTTTATTTCTCACTAAAATTAGGGTTTTTGTTATGGAATATTTGCTATGTTCCTTTGCAGAATATCTGGGAAATTACTTTGACACTTAGATAAATGAAAGAAGCACAATTTAAAAATCTTACAGATTAATTTTAGTCAGTGCTGATTTTTTTTCCTCAGGAAGTATGTTAAAGAGTTATCTTCTACTCTGGCATGAACACAAGTATATATTAATAGTTCAAAATATTGTTATTTCTTACTGTGTTTCTTCCTATCTGTAATCCAAATTCCTACTGAAAAATAAATACATAATATTCTCTACTAAAATTCTTTCTAAGTAAAATCCTAATTTCTTTCTCTTTAAGTACTAGTATTTACAAGCTTTCACCTTCCCTTTATTTTATTTTATTTTTATTTATTATTATTTTTTAATAAACCTTTATTGTTCATATTATTACAAAAGTTCCTCATTTTTTCCCCCTCCACCAGGTTCCTACCCCACCCTCTGCCCTTTCCCCACCCCTCCTTGTCTTCATCCATAGGTGCACAGTTTATGTTCAGTCTCTTCCCGCACCCCCCACTCCTCTTTTCCCTGAGAATCATCAGTCCACTCCCCTTCCATACCTCTGATTCTATTACATTCAACAGTTAATATTATTCATCAGGTTTTTTAATTCCCTTTTTTTTTTTAATTGGCTTCCAAAAAGGAGTTTAAGGTCAAAAGGAGTTTCGGGTGTGCCCAGAACCTATTCATCAAAATTTGGGTAAGCTTCTTCTTTTTTGGTACAAGATTTAGCATAAGGAGACCTGGGTGAGTCCAGGTCCTATTTGTTTCTCATTCCAAGCACATGGATTAAGAAATCAGTACTGATAAGAGGATTCTGCCAGTGCCCTTGGTCTCAGTTGATAAGAATTAAAAGGATGTCCATGTGCCTTCTCAGGGGGCTCTCTACATCTCACCCTTTTTTTACTAATTAAAATAAAATTTAAACACAAATAATAGGGCTCTAAAATTAAAAACAATTGCAAACAATGCCAATGCAAAAACGAAACCACATACATGTTATTTTCAAAACTTGAATGTCAAGAGCAAAACTCTGGCTATTAAATAATAACAACAATGCCAATGCAAAACAACAAAATGAGAAATCAGAATTATGGACATATTATTATTTTTAGCTGCTAAATGAGTCTCTTTTGTTGCTGGTGTGGATTTACTTGGATTTGCTGCACACGACTTTGCAGAAGACTGGAAGCTAACAGATGCTAGCATGAGCAGGAACATGATTAAAGAAGTAGCTTCCATTTCAGTCTTTAATTTCTTCAGATGACTTCATGTTGGCACCTCAGTCCCTTGCGTAGCCTTCAGTTTTCTTCTCCCACTTTGCTGTCGTCTGGGCAACTCTCAGTCCTTTTGGGTGAAGGGACACAGGAGCTTCTGTGAGTCCATTGTGATGACGAACCTAACACTCTGGTACCCGAATTGGCTGCATTGCTCCTTCTTTCCTTTTATTTTGAACCCAGGGTTCGACCCCACAACACTCCGGGCCTGGCTGCTCCAGGCCTGGATGCTGCTCTGGGCCTGGATATTACTCCAGGCCTGGATGGTGCTGCTTGGAGCCTGGCTGCTCCAGGCCTGGCTGCTGCTTCGGGCTTGGCTGCTCCGGGCCTGGCTGCTGCTACTCTGGGTCTGGCTGCTCCGGGTCTGGCTGCTGCTACTCTGGGCCTGGCTGCTGCTACTCTGGGCCTGGCTGCTGCTACTCTGGGCCTGGCTGCTGCTCCAGGCCTGGATGCTGTTCCGGGATTGGCTGCTCTGGGTCTGGCTGCTCTGGGCCCGGCTGCTGCTTCTCCAGGCCTGGCTGTTCCGGGCCTGGCTGCTGCTGCTCCGGGCTTGGCCTCTCTGGGCCCGCCATTCTTCCATTTCTCCAGCTGGTCACATTCCAAGAGCCCCATCGGTCCCTCACAGCTCCCACCATCACGTTAATTGCTGATTATCAACCACCCAATACCTCCCTCCCGTGGGCCTGGATGATAGACGTCCCTCATACTTGTTTCAATCTTCAAATTGTTGTGGGAGTGGCACACCAGCTGTTCACCCACTCTGCCATCTTGGTTTCTTCTCCAATCATTACTCTCATTTTGATCTATTTCCTTGTCTCGGCATTTTCGCAGCTTCCCTGAGTTGGTAGCCTTAAAAGTCTCTGTGTTCTGCTTGTATGGGGTGGAGTTTCAGGGTGGAGCCTACAGCCTTGGTTTCCGTCAGCCATGCCGTATGCTTCTCCTGAGTCTCAGTTGTCCTTAGGGTCCTTTGGTATTCGCTGCAAGCACCTCTGAGAGTGAAGTGCCCTCGAGTTTCGCCCGCTACCAAACAGTCTAGTCTCTCCCCCAATGAGCCCGGAACTGGGGTTCAGTTCAGTTGGAAGTGGGATTGGAAGTGGGGTTAAGAGCAGTCTGGATCTTTTGTCTCCTTCCCACCAGGGCAATCCCACAGGACAGCCAACCGTCCTTTCTCTGCATGCAATGTGCGCACCTCCAGGACTTCCTTTTGCCACTCCCCTGGGTTCCGCCTTACAGCCCAAGCTTCCTCTGTGTGAGCCTGGGTCCCTGGGGTCTGGCCTACAACTGGGGTTAAGAGCAGTCGGAACTGGGGCCCAGCACAGTCTGCAGCTTTTGTCTCCTTCCCACTAGGGCAATCTAGCAGCAGAGTCAAAAGTCTGTCCTCTGTGCGCAATGTGCGCGCCTCCCAGGGCTCTGCCTTTCGCCGCTCCCCTGGGATTCCGCTTCACAGCCCAGGCTCCCTCTGGATGAGCCTGGGTCCCCAGGGTCAGGCCTAGAACTAGGGTTCTGTACTGTCGGGTCTGGGGTTTGGCACAATCCGAGCTTTTATCTCCTTCCCGCTAGGTAATGCCAGGCAGGCACTCAGCCGCCCCACCCCCTCCTCTCTGGCTCTGTCCTCTCCACACGCACAGCACACTGCGTGTCTCCATACCTTAGGCTTTTACAGCTCCTCTGATTTTCCTTCTGGTTTTATCTTTCCTTCTCATTGTAGAATTTCCAGTCATTCGACTTTCCTGTAGTTCTGGGTAATGTCCATTTTATATTTTAGTTGTATTTTATTGAAATTGTTGTGTGCGACTACGGTTAGGTGTTTACCTGTGCAGCCATCTTGGATCCTCTCACCTTCCCTTTTTTTTTTAGATAAACACTGTATTTATTTATTTATTTATTTATTTTATTGTTTAAAGTATTACACACAGTAGTACATATATCTCTTCTCCCCCCCCCCATTGACCTTCCCCAGCCTTCCCTACCTGCTTGTATCACCTTCCTTTTAAAAAGATAACTTACTTGTAATTTCTTTCAGAGAATTGTGTTGGTGGAGATGAAGGACTATCATGATGGACATTCTGAAGGGATAGGGTCCTCGGATTCTGCACACAGATTTTTTTAAGGAAAAAATGAAATGGTTAGCCATGATTTTAAGGAAAATTAGAAATACCATAGCATACATTGATTCTGTATATTAAAAATCTAAATGTCAAGTTCGCTCCAGGTCTAATCCCCAAAAAAAGACAAAGGTGTTGCTAAAAGGCAAATGTTTTGTATTATAATTATACCCAAGAAAGTTTCTCTATTTTTATAATTTTATCTATCTATCATCTATCTATCTATCATCTAACTATATATCTATCTATCTATCATCTATCATAAATCTATCACCTATCTATCATCTGTCTATCTATCATCTATCTATCTATCTATCTATCTATCTATCTATTTATCTATCTATCTTCTTCTTCTTCTTCTTCTTCTTCATCAAAATCATCATCATCATCATCATCTATCTAATCTATCTATCATATACCTACCTACCTGCAATGGGTAATGGCTAACTGAAGAGGAAATGCAAATGGAAGATACATTCCAGCTGCTATTCTAAGCATGAAGTGACCCTTCCAGCCAAAAGGATTAAATATAAATGCCACTTCCTATTGTGACTCTGTGTAAAACACTTATCCCCAAGGAAAATATAGTCCACAAAAGTAACTCAGACACAAATACACAGGGTGAATATAAAGACCTGCATCATCCAACAGCCATGGCATACTGCATGGACTCTTGAGTGAAGCTAATTCATATGAATAAATTAATAGAGACTTGGGAATTAAAGTCCAGCCTTGAGTAAGTGTTTATGCAGAGTAAATTGTAGTAAGTGGGCATTGAAGCAAGAAATTAACATGTTGACACAGACATGAGGCATATAACAGTGGATCCAGACCAGATTTACTCAGAGCCTATTCTTATATCCACACTGGTTATAGGTGGGTATATAACATTGTGACATGGCCATTTTGATGGAATCATATTGAAATCAAGGACATTTTACATAGCTACTTTGTTAGAGATATTTTGACATGGGGAAATTTATAAGGAATGTAAAATAATCCTCTGTACTTTTATTTTAAAAATTAAGCAGCCTGTAAAATACACATCATTATATCCTAAAATTCCAGTTCATGTCTACAACTACCCCTGGGGGTGGTTAATTTTGGATTGGTAATAATGTTAAAGATCAGATAAAGATTATGTAGCATCTAAAAGGGCAAACTAATATGGACAGAAAGAATGACACTGACCTTAGTCCTCAGTTAGTAATCTCTCCTTTCTCTTTGGGCTTTCTTTTCCTGCCTTCTTTTCTTAATCTTCTTTGCAATAAAAATGAAAAGCAGAAGAAAACACAGGAAAAATACCATTTTCCTTCAAAATGTGATTTCAGTAAGCTTTTTCTGACCCCTTTTCTTGTATCTATGGCCACTACTCTGACCTTTGCTCCTTGATGTCATAGTGGACAAAACCAAGAGTTCCTGGCCATTCTGTACATCAGTTCTTAAAGGGCCCAAACCTTTTTTTTTTTTTTTTTTTTTTTTTTTTTTTTTTTTTACTAGCATGCAGGAGAGTAATATACCTGATATGATGAAAAGAGGCCTACCTATAATTTGTATTTGGGGACCATAAACCAGATCCTCTAGCTTTGGCACTATTGCTATATTGAGGAGAAGGGTCTTATAAGAAGTTGGGAGGAGAGTCTCTCAGCATGTAAAAGATAAGGAGATAAGTATTTTCATCTTTTTTAAAAAAAGTTTATATATTTTCTTTATTGATTAAGGTATTACATATATGTCCCTATTCCTCCATTGCCCCCCAATCCTCTCTCATGCCCTCCCCCCCTAGTGTCTGTGTCATTGGTTATGCTTATATGGATGCATACAAGTCCTTTGGTTGATCTCTCCTCATTACTCCCACCCTCTCCTGTCTTCCCGCTGAGGTTTGATGGTCTGATCAATGCTTCTCTGACTCTGGATCTGTTTTTGTTCATCAGTTTATGTTGTTCATTATAACCCACAAGTGAGTAAAATCATGTGATATTTATTTTTCTCCAACTGACTAATTTTGCTTAGCACAATGCTCTCCTGGTTCATCAATGCTGTTGCAAATGGTAAGAATTCCTTCCTTTTTTACTGTAGTGTAGTATTCCATTGTGTAGATGTAATACATTTTTTTAAATCCACTCATCTGCTGATGCGCATTTAGGTTGTTCTTTACTTGTCATTTGTCGAGTTTTAGCCTAATTTAAAGTCATTATTCTAGACTTAGCCCTTGATTTCCATTAGGTAGTTGTAGCAAAGTGTTTCAGGCAGAACTTAGGAATAGAAAATTATAGAGAAGAAGGTAGGACCAGACTAATATTGTGATATTGTTTTAGCATCAGGCCCTAGCAGTAGTGGTGATAGTAGTGTGGCACTCTGTTATGAGCACATGGCGGTCCAGAAAAAAATAGCAGCTAGCTACTGAAGACGGTTTTTCCCCCCCCAAAATTAGTGGGCATTTTAAACCCGTGAAGTATAGTGATTATATAATTTATTGTGCAGACAAGAACATTTATGAATGTGACAGGAAAACTATTAATATTTGCATTGGAAAAACCAACAGAAAGTGGGACTATCCTGGTTACCCTACCTTGATATCACCATTGTTGGACCCAAAGCTGAGCTTCCTCATGTTTTTCAGAAACAGAATTAATGTAGCTTCCAATTTCTCTTATCAAAAGTATTTTTCTCAGCTTTTAGTCTCATTTCTAATATCATCTCTTTAAAGAATCTTTACTAACATTCCCATCTAGTGTTGTTCACCCTAAGTCAATATTAAATCACCCTGCTTATTGTTGTTAGAGAATTTATGACAATATGAAATTATCTTTTCTTGTTTGTCTGTCTCCTATTTCTTCTCTAATATAAGCTCCATGAGGACAAGACCTAATCTCAGGTACCAGTTTATCCTCATAGTAGGCGTTCAATAATTTTGTGGTGAATAAATGAAAAACAATATCTAATGAATACAACTGGGTGTACTTTTATGCTAAGGACCAAAGGGAATAACACTGGTTCCTTTTCATATGGAGTCTGAAATACATTTACTGTGACCCTATTCTTTAATGACCTCTTGATATATCTATCTTGAAAAAAATCAAGACCATCAGAGGAATAATGTGAACAATAAATAAGGTATAATGGATTCTCAATCAGAACCAGTCTACTGATTATCCAAATGCTTTTAATAGAGACTTGGGAATTAAAGTCCAGCCTTGGGTAAGTGTTTATGCAGAGTAAATTGTAGTAAGTGGGCATTGAAGCAAGAAATTAACATGTTGACACAGACATGAGGCATATAACAGTGGTTCCAGACCAGATTTACTCAGAGCCTATTCTTATATCCACACTGGTTATAGGTGGGTATATAACATTGTGACATGGCCATTTTGATGGAATCATATTGAAATCAAGGACATTTTACATAGCTACTTTGCTAGAGATATTTTGACATGGGGAAATTTACAAGGAATGTAAAATAATCCTCTGTACTTTTATTTTAAAAATTAAGCAGCCTGTAAAATATACATCATTATATCCTAAAATTCTAGTTCATGTCTACAACTACCCCTGGGGGTGGTTAATTTTGGATTGGTAATAATGTTAAAGATCAGATAAAGATTATGTAGCATCTAAAAGGGCAAACTAATATGGACAGAAAGAATGACACTGACCTTAGTCCTCAGTTAGTAATCTCTCCTTTCTCTTTGGGCTTTCTTTTCCTGCCTTCTTTTCTTAATCTTCTTTGCAATAAAAATGAAAAGCAGTAGAAAACACAGGAAAAACACCATTTTCCTTCAAAATGTGATTTCAGTAAGCTTTTTCTGACCCCTTCTCTTATATCTATGGCCACTACTCTGACCTTTGTTCCTTGATGTCATAGTGGACAAAACCAAGAGTTCCTGGCCATTCTGTACATCAGTTCTTAAAGGGCCCAAACCTTTTTTTACTAGCATACAGGAGAGTAATATACCTGATATGATGAAAAGAGGCCTACCTATAATTTGTATTTGGGGACCATAAACCAGATCCTCTAGCTTTGGCACTATTGCTATATTGAGGAGAAGGGTCTTATAAGAAGTTGGGAGGAGTGTCTCTCAGCATGTAAAAGATAAGGAGATAAGTTTTCTCATCTTTTTAAAAAAAGTTTATTTATTTTCTTTATTGATTAAGGTATTACAAATGTGTCCCTATTCCTCCATTGCCCCCCAATCCTCTCTCATGCCCTCACCCCCTAGTGTCTGTGTCATTGGTTATGCTTATATGGATGCATACAAGTCCTTTGGTTGATCTCTCCTCATTACTCCCACCCTCTCCTGACTTCCCGCTGAGGTTTGATGGTCTGATCAATGCTTCTCTGACTCTGGATCTGTTTTTGTTCATCAGTTTATGTTGTTCATTATATCCCACAAGTGAGTAAAATCATGTGATATTTATCTTTCTCCAACTGACTAATTTTGCTTAGCATAATGCTCTCCAGGTTCATCAATGCTGTTGCAAATGGTAAGAATTCCTTCCTTTTTTACTGCAGTGTAGTATTCCATTGTGTAGATGTAATACATTTTTTTAAATCCACTCATCTGCTGATGGGCATTTAGGTTGTTTTTTACCTGTCATTAGTCCAGTTTTAGCCTAATTTAAAGTCATTATTCTAGACTTAGCCCTTGATTTCCATTAGGTAGTTGTAGCAAAGTGTTTCAGGCAGAACTTAGGAATAGAAAATTATAGAGAAGAAGGTAGGACCAGACTAATATTGTGATATTGTTTTAGCATCAGGCCCTAGCAGTAGTGGTGATAGTAGTGTGGCACTCTGTTATGAGCACATGGCGGTCCAGAAAAAAATAGCAGCTAGCTACTGAAGACGGTTTCCCCCCCCCCCCAAAATTAGTGGGCATTTTAAACCCGTGAAGTATAGTGATTATATAATTTATTGGGCAGACAAGAACATTTATGAATGTGACAGGAAAACTATTAATATTTGCATTGGAAAAACCAACAGAAAG